TGCAGCGCCCCCGGGGCCGGCGCTCACCGTGCACCATGCGCCTGGGGCCGGCTCCGGCACCGCGCATGCGCCACGTGCCCGGGGCCAGGCCAGCCCTGAGCACTTGGTGGGTGGACACTAATGCCCCCACGGGCGCCATGATGCCCGTGGGCACCGCGTTGGGGACCACTGGCCTAGGCTAAAACAGCATACATTTCAAATACAGATTTAGAACATATTATGGTGCTCAAACTCCAAGGAAGGCAGCCGCTGACTTCTCTACTTTCAAAAAAATGTAGAGTTTCTTCTATTCCTTCAACCCCTCTATGGGCCTGCCTGAGTTGTTACATATAGCATATGACAGGCATAGTGTTTTCATGAAATATTAAATCATTGTCACTCACCATTGGGGTTAAATAACCTGCAGCTTTTTAGAGAAGTTTCATAACCTACCACCAACTCTTCTATAATCGCCACCTACACATGCAAAGATAAGACAAAAAATATTTGTGATCAAATGTTATTTTACTTCAATATGAATGTCCTTGGTGTCAGTCATACTGATTATTCTAAGAGATCTACTATTCCAATAGTACAGAGAGGAGTGTACTCAATTCCCAGCTTTCCTTATAACATGTAGAGAGAAAACCTCACAATTCTGTGAACACATACACCACACTGGCTTATGGTAGTTGTTCATAGTTTGGTACAACAACAGACTTGGAAAACAGCTATGTAAATTTGCACAGTAGGAAATGTAGCACAATATTTTTGCTTCTGTGACCTAGAACAATCAGAAAAATCAAGTCAATGACAGTGATACAGAGTAGTATCAGGTGAAACCCAATCTAAGCTTGAATTTCCAGGCCAAAGAAGGCTCCAACTTGTAAAGTTTTTTTTTATTCCTTTAGTGTGTAAGAATAAACACAAATTATTGCCAAAAAACCCCATAAGATTCATTTACCTTTTCTTTATCTTTGTACAATGATCTCAAAGTATTAAAAACAGGTGGGCAGCCTTTGCTGAAATTCATCCTTAGAAACTTGTCCAGACATTCCTTAAACTTTTCACCTTTGGGGGAAATAGACCAGTTGGTTTTGTTTTTACCAAATATTACTTTGCAATTTTAATTTTTTATATTGCCAAATAGAAAGTTACAACAATAACAAAATGTGAAACTATGTTTATTTGTTTTACCAGATAAAAAGTTTAGGGGAAGTCTTCTTGGAACCAGTCCCCTTGGGTACTTAGTCCAGGCCTCTTCATAGATTTTGAGCCTCTCCAGCATATTGGCTAGAACAAAACAAAATATGGAAGCTATTAAAAAGATATTTTCTGATAATTAAACCCAGAATACATAGCAAGTAATAGCTTTATACTTATGTGATGTAGCTCATTTAAAAGAGTCATTGAAAATTAGTTTCAGATACAATGGTTATGAGTTACTCTGTCAGTCAGTTTGTTGATTGCATTTTCCCATTTAAAAAGAGTTCTCTGAATCAGAGAGAGACAGAGAGAGAGAGAGAGAGACAGAGAGAGAGACAGAGAGAAAACCAGCCACATAAGAGAAATAGTTCAAAGGACTGTATTTAAAATATTGTCAAAGGCACAAAGTAAATAAACAGAAAGAAATCATGCTTCTGTTTGGAATTTGTATTTACTGTAAACACATGATTACCAAAAATGAAACATCAGAGGAAAAAATTAAGTTGACAGTATCCATTCTAAAAATAACTTTGCCTTCTATTTCTACCATTTTTATAAACAGAACGATTACAGCACTTAATAATCCATCATGTTTTAATTTATATAGTTTTCACCAGATAAAGATAAATAGGACATCAGGACAAAAAGCCATGCAAATCTTACAAAACAATGCTAGTAACAAAAACACAATAAATCTTTACTACGTATCAAAAACTAGACTAGAAGTTGTTAAACATAAGTACCCTTTTAAGAATGTACTACCTGTTTTCAATGCATAAGTAAACGACAACTGAGCAAAAATAAATTCTTGATACTCTATTACAGAGGCTCTCAAACTTCATTGGACTGCAACCCTCTTCTGGCTACAAAAATTGATGACTGAAGACTGAGTCCACTTGAGCCTGCTGCCTGGGGGTGGGGAGATACAGAGGCCAAAGTCTGACCCCAATTTTCCAAGAGCAGGGGGAAGTAGCTCAAGGACTTTGGCCTCAAGCCAGGGGTCTGTAACCTGAACCCCACTGCCCTGGACCCTCAGGCTTGGGTGCCAGAGGGTGGGACATGAGCTTTACCTTTGGCTCCATAACCACATCAAGTCCAAGGCAGCCCTGGTAACCTCATTAAAATGGGGTCATGACCCACTTTTGGGTCCCAACCAACATTTTGAAAACCAGTGCTCTATTAGAAGATGTAATTACTTACATGGTTTAAGTGCCTTTTCTAAGCCTTTGCAGTATGCCCAGTTTTCAGGGTTCCTTTCTTGCAATCCTCTATACACCTCAGCTGCTTCTTCCAGCCTGCAGAGTTGTAACAGAAGTTCTCCTGTTTAAAATTCATAAAGTTATACACTAAGTTTGAGGGATAATGCAACAGCTAAACATAGTGCTAATCTGATTTAGACATCTCTCAATTCTTTGTTAATCCAGGTTTTAAGACATGAACGTCAATGGCATGAAGCAATGCCAGGTATAATTTTAATTTGACTGACAAATATCTTCAATTTTGAGATGTAGCACGTTTTCATGGCCATAGCTTATAACACATTAAGCTTTTTAGTTGAAGATTTAGACAGGTAGAAGGAGTTACTCTGTTAAAAGAGTGAGGAACAAAAATCAGATGCATCTTGATTAAAAATTTTTAACAAATAAATATTTAAGTACAGTTCTACTACGGAAAGAGCTTAAAACCGGTATGTGCTCTTCCTGGTTGATCGTCCAAATCAAGTATGCTTCCACTTGCAAGTAAAAGAATAGGTTTACAAAATGTGAGTGTGAAAACCCTTTTCAGATTTGTATTTCAAGTTATTTGTCTGAGTTGTACTATTGTACTGAGAGATTCTGCAGGCAAGCTTTGTCCTCACTGACAGCTGGAAATGGAATGGCACAGGAGTACAATTTGGACCAGCACGTGTACCTAACATTTCTGTTGATGCTAGAGACAGAACAGAATGCATCTAACTATGTCATAGCTGCATTGATTTGGTAGTACTAAAAAAGGTAAAAATAATGTTATGCGTGCGCGCGCACACACACTTAAAGTAACTAGACATCATGTAAATGATGACACCCCTCCACAAACCCTGTGAAAGCAAGCATACATGACTGAACTCGTGAAAGGTGATCTGGTAGTTAAGAAGGTATAGCTTTTTGAGTAAAACCTCAAAGTCTTACTGGCCTTCTTTGTTTCAGAACTTTTCACAACATAAGCTAGTACTTACTACAAAAAAAATCTTAACTTGGGCTATCATTCTTCACATTGCAGCCACCTCCAATAATCTCAAGACAGGGAGAAACAGACATGGCCCCCCCACCAGCATAACAGAACCAGAAAGTAATTCTCACTACAAAAAGACCCAAATTGTGTTATGGAAGGTAAGAATTCTAAACACCTATAAATGCCAGTACATGTTCACTATTACTCAGTTATTTTAAATTCATAGTATATTTTATTATGCATCTTTTATATATAAAAGCCATTTATTATTGACTCTTCTGTGCAATTTATCTGCAGTACCTACACACCTCAGACATTAATAATATAATTTCATAAGTCTATTGGGGAAAAAATAGGAGAGTATGATAGCATATTTACTAAGAAAGTGAAAAACAGATTAAGTCATTTGTTCAAACTCAAAGAAGCCTGTAGAAAAGCCCGTATTCAAGACTCAGATCTATTTCTAAGTCCTGTTACTTAACCAAAATTTGTCTGATGTTCCCTTAGTATACAGAGTACTACAGGTAGTTCAGATACAACTCAAACTGTAGAAAAGTGGTAGGACATTATGCTTGATAAACAGTACATGATTTTGTAATTAAGGATATAATAGAAACTCAAAGGACAGAGCTCAAAATCAACATACATCAATTGTGGCATTTCCTGACTTGTGTTTGCAAGATAAAAACCACTGTGTGCTTATATTTAATCATGGGAATCATCTCAATGATTTCAATGGGACTATTTCTGTGCTTAAAGAGTGTAAATATGTGCAGGATCAGGTCCTTGGATCTTCACCAGGGAACTTCAATGGCATTGGTAGTTTTTTCTACAGAATTTCAAAAGAAAGGTAGCAGGAAAAGTTTTCTAGTTTCAAAGCTCTGATATCTTGCAAGACAACAGTATGAGAGCATTTACATTTTATAATATCAAACTGTCTATACATCATGAGAATGTTGCCATTCTTTCAAAGGCAATGGAACATCAATGTCCGCAAAATTAGACTGCAACAGCAATTAAACATTTGGTCACTCACTATCAAACTACTTTGTACAAGACAAATGCATATTGATACTATAGCAGTTAAACAATCATTACCATTCATTGAAAAGAGTTGTGGTGGCTTGTCTCTCTCAACAACAGAAGTTGGTCCAATAAAATATACAGGCAGTCCCCGGGTTACGTACAAGATAGGGACTGTAGGTTTGTTCTTAAGTTGAATTTGTATGTAAGTCGGAACTGGTACATATTGTAGGGGAAACTCTAGCCAAACATTTCTCCAGAGCTCAGTTTTATTCTCCCATACCTCACTTCTCTCAGTCCTTTATTCTCAAGCTGAGGTGTCTGCTGAGAAAAGCCGCTCTGCGTCTCCCTGGTCTGCTGGGGGGAAGCAGCTAGTGCGGGGTTGCCTCATCCCGTTTGTAAGTAGGGATCTGATGTAAGTCGGATCCATGTAACCCGGGGACTGCCTATACTACCTCACCCACTTGGTGTCGCTAATATCCCGGTACTGACACAGCTTCAGCTACACTGCATTACCATTAACCACCATTAGGCTAAACCATCTAAATGGAGGACTTAATAGCTGTCCTAACATATGATATACCATGTAAGCAGTATACTGTAATTGCAGTTTATGTTCACATTGCATTTTTCATGCCAAAGCCTTCTGTATTTTATATATACACACACATGAGCATCAAGGAACTATATCATCATATCAGGCGGTGCAGAATCTGAAATATTAGCTTGTGCTGGCTAATACTCAACAATGGGGAGAAACAAAGGTTACACCATATTGACAAATAGCTACACTCATTAAATGTGGTGTGAGCAATGGTGTACTTCTTAAAGGGACAGAATCCAGTCAAAAATAATTAAAACCCTGTTTCCCACACGTTTTATTGACAGCTCCTTATATCATAAAATTCACTTTTCATAATATATTTCCTCCCTCTGTTAATGCTGATTTATCTTACTCATTTCCCATTCTGAGCAATGAAAAATGACTGGTCTACGTGACTCCGACTCATATGTCAATACCGCAATGGATAGGATACAAACACTGCAAAGCATCAGAGGGGTAGCCGTGTTAGTCTGAATCTGCAAAAGCGGCGAGGAGTCCTGTGGCACCTTATAGACTAACTGAAGTGTAGGAGCATAAGCTTTCGTGGGCAAAGACCCACTTCTGACGAATGCATCTGACGAAGTGGGTCTTTGCCCACGAAAGCTTATGCTCCTACACTTCAGTTAGTCTAAGGTGCCACAGGACTCCTCGCCGCTTTTGCAAACACTGCAAAGCAGTTTTCAATTGAGCTTTTTTGTAAAAATGAAGTTAACAGAACTTATGACTATTCTAAAGTCCAGTGAAAATGGTTTTTGTTTAGTTGTAGAATTAAACTGATCTAATACATTTCATAATTCAGTCTTATATAAAACTACATTATTTCTTTGATTTTCCAATATATACAGAATCCATACATAAGATTCCACAATGCAGAAATGTACAAGTACAAAGAATGACAGAAAACTAAGGAGGCAATTACCTTTAGTTTCTTCAACAGCCAGTTTATCACAGATTTGCTTTTCATAGGTAACAAGGTGCTCCAAGGCTTCTTTGTGGAGTCCTGCTTCTCGGAGGACTTCATTCTGATACAACAGCAGCTCACTGTACTCATAGTCCACTTTATCAGGAGATGTCTGAATGTCAACAAGGCATATGAGCGTTCAGTCTGGTATATATTTACACTTAGGGTAAACTGAATGTATTTGTTTTTAAAATCTAAATTATATTAAATAGTTTGTGTGTTTGAAAAACAATTACATTTTTTTAAGCTCACAGCTAATCAAAACAGATGAAGAAATCCATGTTTTCTTTTTTATACCTGTTGAGTCTTCCTAAATTCCTCTAAAATCTTTGCTGCCATTTCGTAATCTTCCAGCAGATGATAAGCTATTGCATAACCAATCCACGAGGCTCGCTGTGCAGGTCGGAGCTGAAGTAACTGGTACCTGGTTTCCTGTAAGACAGTGATGACTACTAATTTTCCTGTTCTCATAGCTTCTAAAATTCTCCATAAAATATTATAGTTTTAACATTTTTATACATTTTACCAAGACTACTTAACATATCATAAAGGAAAAACTAGCAACTGTACCAAATTAAGAAGTTTTAACCTTGGTAAAGTGAAAAAAATTAATATTCAACTTTAAAACAGTACTAAAGAAGTACTATTTCCAGCTAAGCTGTCCTCATGAGCCAGACTAACATTAATGATGTAGGCATCAAGGCATGTTTTTTCCTGTCCAAAAAATGCTAAATAAATAGAATCTAGCGATGTTAGATGTTCAGAGGCAGCAGCATAGCAGGTAGGGGATGGCAGGTGGCTCTGTGAGATCCAGTGCTTGTGGGGAACCTGTTTAAAAGTGGGCTCCCGCCTCTCCTGTGATACAGAGGCAGTAAGGAGAGAGGGAGTGCGAGTAATCGTTCGAACTGATAAGCCAGGCTTATCAGTTAATTATTTACATGACTATACACTAATATCCCTACTGTGTACACCTAGTACAATGATAGATTAGACAACATGCAAAGTGTCCTCTAGCACAGTGTATGGGTGGTCAGGCCGGGAGGGAGGGTACAGGAGCAGGATGAGGGGATGCACAAGGGAGATGGAGCGAGCAGAAGGGAGATTTCAGTGTGGGGGATGGAGGATGTTTACCTGCCTCCCACCTCTCCCAGGCACCACCTTCTGCTTCTCTTGTTGGCCATGATCCTGGCCAATGGAAGCAATGGAGAGAGCCTCCAGGCAGTACTTCCTTGCACTGCCATTTCCCCTCTTGGCCGCCGTGAGCCAGATCCAGCCCATGAGGCTCACAGCTTCCCTCCGCCCCACACAGCAGGAAGCTGGCACTGGTACACCATTCTCATAGAAGGAGAGGCACAGGTATGGAATGCTAGAGGGGGCTCCATGCTGCAGAGACGGCTGAGCTTCAAGCTGTGGCCCACCTTCCAGGTGGCCATGGACCACTAGGGGTCTGTGGACCACACTTGGAGAGCCATCACTCTAGCAGAGTGTTCTCTCTTTCTTTCTGAGGCTCCCTGAACATGCTACAAAATTCCAGAGCCCAGCAGAAAGGAGGAGGGAGGTAAGGTTCTGATCCAAGTTGCAGGCAGGGTGACAGAGAACCATCTCAGGCTTTTCCCTTGTCTGGCACATGAACTCTGGCCGCTGGTGAGATAGGAGGGGAATGAATGTGCCTCAGGCATAGACATAGTTTTGTTTCTATTTGGTGGGTGGGAGCAGGTAAAGGGCTGGGCCAACTCTGCATGGTGGAGCCCCGGGCCACAGCTACTCTTTACTCACCGCAGCAGACCAGGTGGGGGACACAAAAATTACAACTCACAGGGGGGAAAACACAGCTCACAAACAGTGAAAACCACTCAGGGGGCAGACAGGGGAAAGTCAGGGGCTGTGATCAGTGAGATTTTTAGTTCAGGTACAAGGAGAGGGTTAGCTAGAGGCGGCGGGCTGGGAGGATTGCGGTTGCTGCTGAGGGCTCTGCAAGCTTGGTCCACTTGCCGGGGCAGCTTTTACTTGCTATGTGAGCAGCCAAAAGGGGCTGAGAGCTGATGAACAGCTCCAACCATCAGCAGCAGCAGAAAGGAGATGGGGGAGCACCATGGCTGCCTGTATCACAGCACCAGCCAGAGCAGCAGCTGCCCTACCCTGCCCTCTCTCTGGCTTCCTATCTCCAACCTAGCCAGAGCAAGGTCTCAGGACAGGCAGGAGGAGAAGGTGTGGAACTGCCCAACTCTGCATTGAAGTTTGAGGACAGACCACCCTTTTGTTTCCATGCAGTTCTACCCATGGGCTTGGGCTCACAGATTGCAGGGGACCATGGGCACCCAGCAGAGAACTGCTGCATTCGTGAATAATTCTGCTTTGATATAAAGATAACATAGCAAATTACGTTCTTTATATGAAAATTATGAAAAAGTGGTCTTCTACTTATCCAAGTATGAATGTCAAGAGCGTTAAGCATGTAAGATTTTAATGGTTTGAGTCCTATGGTCTTAAAATGTATGCAAGTTACTAATTATTGAACCAACTCTTTTGCTGTATTTCCCTGGAAACCTATAAAATGTAAATACTCAACTTACCCTGTAGCCCTCAAGATCCCTCATTTGAATCTGTAGCAGAGAGAGATCTCTCAGGATTTGAAGATTGTCTTTATCCCATTTCAGTGCATTTCTGTAACATTTGATAGCTTCATCATACTTCTTGTCTGACCTCTGGAGAAGACCATAGACATGCCAGCCTGGAAATTTTGTTAAGGTTACTACTGCATTTGAGGGTGAAGAAAATCAATCCAGCATGGCAGAAAAAGAGTGCTTACTAGGTTTAATTTAAAAAAATAAAATCCAGCTTTGTAACAGACAGTAACACTAGAGATATCTTTCTTAACAGTACTAAAAAAAAACCCATTAAAATTGAAGATATAAAACTTTCTCCAATTTATTACAAGAACATGTTGTGTGTGTGTGTGTGTGTGTGTGTGTGTGTGTGTGTGTGTGTGTGTGAGACAGAGAGAGAGAGAGAGAGAGAGAGAGAGAGAGAGAGAGAGCGCGTGTATGTATGTACTGCACACTACTGCAATTAATTTTCCTACAGTTAAAAACAATAGAAAAGATCTTAAACAACTATCAACTTGTCTTATCTGTATTTTTGTTATCTAATACAGGCCTCAATTCAGGCACAAAATTAATGTATGTATTTAATCTTCAAGCATGACACTAGTCCCACTGACATCAATAGGATAATTGTGTGCTTAAAGTTAGGCACATGCTCAAGTACATACTTAAAATCAGGGCTACAGCAAGAAATTCCAAAGGAAAAAGGTCATACTTGCAAACGTAATGGAAAAGAACACGATTTTGATTCAACAACTATAATTCTTCCCACAAAAGTGAGAATGAGTTTTTAATGGTTTGTGCTTCCAAGGACAGCTTTGGGACAAACAATTTGGGTATGAAATTGTTCACAGAAGTCTAAATAGAATGTACTTGTATACATATTAAACTTACCACTTGTACACTTTCAATTTGGATCAGCAATAGATGTTGGCTCTTGTACACATTCCCTAAAATAAGCAGTTACTCTAAAAAAAACCCACCTTTTCCACATTCACAAATGGAAGGTATATTCAAAAAAGGATACAGACATGACTCTTTAAGTCATTCCGTAAGCCTCTACGCACTAGCTCATATGCTTCCTCTTTCTTCCCTAGACAGTTCAGCGTCAGTCCTTTCATCGCCAGGGTTTCTAAAAACATTAGGATTCCATTGGTACCGATTATTTTATTCAACAGGTAACATATAAACTAATACCTTAAAGCATATAAATATTCATACCTTAGACTTTAGACTCAGGAAAGTTAGTAACACAAACATTCTCATTCTATTTTGAAAGTTACAAAAGATTAAACCTCATACCCTCACTGAATAAACTAAAAGCATCAACTGTAAATTCTGTATCTTAAATCCAGTTAAAGCGAACCACTATTCTACTTCAAAGCATGTTAGGTTTCCCTGTATACAAATGGTAGGCAAACACAGTCTTCCCCTCCTGGAAAAGACTGCCATGTCTACTTAAATAGCCCATTATTTAACAGAAAAGGCATTCATTTGAAGAACATTTCAGAAAAGAATAATCATTCCAGTTGAACAGGTAAAAAGGAACCTCCCCCCCCCCAAATTCTTGAAAAAGAGGTTCAAACCAAAGAGTGAGGGAACCTTTTTTTTCCCCTCTTTCAAACTGCTTTTCCCTCGCTGGAAGAGCAAGCTAACGATTCTAGCCTGTGTGTTCCTACCCCATCCATTCTCCAAATTCTGTACTGTTTATTCAGATACAAGACATAGAAAAAATAAAATGAAGGACATATTTAAAATGTTATATCAGCAACCAAGTATTACATTATGGTGCAGGGTTTCCAAAAGTTACACTTTGTACTTCATCAATTTCCCCTTAAAATCACTTATCCAAAGGACAAACAAAAAGATGCTAAAATATTTATCGTATTCTGAGATACAGAAAGTCTCTTAAAATATGTATTATTTGTCTTAAAGTGTATCATAAGCAGTCTATGACCGTTTAATATGCCATCTCAAGCCTCACCTCCATGTTCTGCAAACTTTGGATTAGAAAGGATCTGTTTACAAAACTTCAGCCCATTTCTGTACTGTTTATGTTCATAACACCTCTGTAGAAGAACAATAAAAATCAGTAAGCTACTTCACAAAAGTAATAAATGTTTTAATAAAAAGTTTAAATAAAGTTTAAAATAAAGTTTAAATAAAAAGTATAGCACTATGATTTCATATATTAAAATGTCTGCTTGGACAGTTCTAATTTCAAAACACAAATGGGCAATATTCCATTGACATAGTATAGTGTTAAGAATATCAGTCACCTGTACCAATATATTGGAGATTACTGCATTAAACAATATATTTTTTCTGGCAGAAAAAGCTGCATTTCATATCCTTAATAATTGTATTAACTATCTGTGGCATTTCATCAAAATTAAAAAAACCACCTTCATACTGTACTCATATTCAGGCTAAGTAGTTTATCTAAACACTTGTGACAATATTAGTGATTAATATTTGAAGATAATATTCCTGTTAGGGCTGTCAAGCAATTAAAAAAGTAATTGTACTGTTAAATAGAATACCATTTATTAAAATATATTGGCTATTTTAAAATATATTGATTTCAATCAACACAGACTACAAAGTGTATAGTGCTCACTATTTTTTATTCAAGTATTTGCACTAGAAAAAAAGTATTTTTCAAATCACTTACTACAAGTACTGTAGTAAAATCTCTATCAAAGGTTGAACTTACAAATAGAAATATGTAAAAAAACTGCACTAAAAAATTACAAATTTTAGAGCCTACATGTTCACTAAGTCCTACATTTTGTTTACCAAATGCTCAAATTAGTATGATTACAATCTGCAGGTGATAACGCTGCTTCCTAGTTTACCATGTTACCTGAAAGTGAGCACAAGTGTTTGCAAAGTGCTGCACGATATTTATGCACCAGATGTGCTAAGGATTCGTATGCCCTTTCATGCTTCAACCACCATTCCAGAGGACGGGTCCATGCTGATGACAGGTCTGACTTAACGATGATACAAAACAGAGAGAACCAATGCAAGTTCATTTTCATTTGAGTCAGATACCACCAGCAGAAGGCTGATTTTCTTTTTTTGGTGGTCCAGGTTCTATAGTTTCCACATTGGATTGTCGCTCTTTTAAGATTTCTGAAATCATGCTACACACCTTGTCCCGCTCAAATTTTGGATGGCATTTCAGATTCTTAAACCTTGTATTGAGTGCTGAAGCTATTTTTAAATATCTCACACTGGTAACTTCTTTGCATTTTATGGACTCTGCTGGGAAAGTGTTCTTAAAATGAAGATATTCTGGATCATCATTCAAAACTGCTATAACATAAAATATGGCAGAATGCAGGTAAAACAGAACAGGAGAGAGAAACAATTCCCCCCAGGAGTTCAGCCACTAATTTAACACTTTTTTTTTTTTTTTTTAAATGAGCATCACCAACATGGAAGCATGCCTCAGGAACGGTGGCCAAAGCAAGACGGGCCAACGTATCTGGCATGTAAATACCTTGCAACGCCAGCTAAAAAAGTGCCACGTGAATGACTGTTTTCATTTTCAGGTGACATTGTAAATAAGAAGCAGGCAGCATGATCTTCCATAAATGTAAACAAACTTGGCTGAACAAGGAGGAGGAGTAGGTGGACATATAGGTGCTAAAGTTTTACTTGGTTTTGTGTTTGAATAGGTATGTAACAAAAAAAAAATCTACATTTGTAAGTTGCACTTTCATTATGAAGATTGTACTACAGTACTTATATGAGGAGAACTGAAAAGTACTATTTTTTATGTTTACGGTGCAAATATTTCTATAAAGAATATAAAGTGAATACTGTACAATACTTTGTATTGTGTGGTAATAGATATCAATATATTTAAAAAAGTAGAAAAACACCTGTAATATTCAGTGAATTTTAACTGGTTTATTCAATCATTTAACAGTGTGATTAATCACAATTAATGTTTTTAATTGTAATTAATGTTGTTGAGTTAATTGTGAGTTAACTGCGATTGACAGCCCTAATTCCTGCATAACAACTGTTATTCATTCAAAATCTACATTATGGAAGCCATATCAGAACTATCTATATGAATATCTAACTCCTTTAAAACAGATTACCATTTTCATTAAATAAAAATACCTTACAAGCGTTCTATCAACTTAGGCATCATGTCCCTTTAAAATGGGAATATAGCTTAATGAAAATATTCTAGCTGGACAAGTGGGAAGAAGGGAAGTTGTGACTGTTCTTGCGGTACCCAGTTACTACATAAGTAAGTCTAGCCTGTGGCAGTCCCACAACTCCTCCATGCTATCCTAGCTATTGGAGGTGCAAACCAGCCTCTGAGTTCCCTTGATAAGAGGTACACTATCCAGCTTTTCATAGAAATCAGATCCTCTGCTCCCACAGAAACAAGGTAGCCCAATTTAACAGTTTCACCTTAAATCATCAATCCTCTGTAACACACAGCTCATGAGCACTTATAATAAAAAAATAAAAAAGAAGAATAGAGGTTCCAGTAAAAACAAGTGAGCTGGAAACAGTTACCATATAAAACAAAATCACAGACCACAAACTAGGGCCTACAATTAAGTTACTTTACTAATAAAGTTTCCTCCTCAGTGAATAGGTGAAGAGGGTCTTTTTCTGCCCAGTCACATAATTAATCAAATCTTTTGTCTTTATTCATAAATAAGGCGATCTTATCTGTTACATTTTTCCTTTTAACCTCCAAGTGGTTCTGACTGTTTGCATTGTTTTTGGTGATTTTCCAGTGACGGTTCTTGAGTGGGGCAAGGTTAGGCAACTGAATATCACATTACATATTTGGCTAGCCAGGGCAGGATGACAACTCCCTGTCCTATGAATGGGTCATCACCTGAGGACTTTTACTCTAAGACCATAAGGGAATACTTTTCAACACAGTTACATTAATCCTTAAATATGATCTATATATATATATATGTCTCAATTATTATAAATACTGATAAGTTACAAGCTTTCAGTACAGACATCACCCGTTGTAGATAATATAACTTTTTTTTTATTATTTATGTCCAGCGTGTTTGTCAGATCGTAGACAGGAGTAGCCTGTGAAGAAAAGTAATGCCTTTTGCCAGCTAGCATCAATTGGTCTCCATCATACAGATTATTAATGCAAAATATAATCTTCATTGGCTATGTTAGCAGAAAAGCTTAAGAAAAGCAGCAAATTTCACATCTCTATAATCTCTCTGAAAGTAAATCAGGTTGCCAAATGCCACTGTAGCTGTCCAGTGACAAAAGGGATGAGCCACTGGGTGAGCCGCATGTTCACCTTCTGTAGTCTTACAGGACAAAGAGTAAAGCTTTTACTACTAAATTCAAACATTGTGCCTACCATCTAAAAGTACCCACATAAAGCCACACACAGGCCACTTTGAAAAGCATCAAGGAAAGAGCAGATGGAGAATGACAGTTTAATGTGCTTTTGATAGATTAAAGGTATGCTTGATAGTGTTCATTCACAAAATTAGATCTCAGTGACAAAAAATATTCCAATGATTATAGCTGTCTATTGTGTCCTGCATAGTAAGTGTGAGATAAAAGGGGAAAAGCTGCAGACAGAGTGAAGGACAGAAATGGAGAAGCTGTTCACCGAGTTTGAACAGGCAGACAAGTTGGCCATTAGAAGACCTTAAAATGCAGTGATGGGGATGAAGAAGGCTTTGATAAGCAATTAAACCATCAGCATAGTAGTGTTCTGTGCTGCACTGTTCTCTGGGTACAAGACTGAGTGCTACTAGCAACTGTGTAGTATTTGCTGTACATTTATACAAGATTTTTTTCTGAAGCTATGAATTGTGCGGTACTTGATTTACATTTACACCTGAGTGCTGTATATTTACAAGTACTAGATTCTTTGAGTACTGCTATGTATTTTTCATGATGTATTGTGAATTAATAAAGAAAATTTTATTTGCAAAAATAGAAATTTATTGGAGCTGTAAAAACATTTCAGGAAAAACGTACAAAAATAGCAATGCAATTAAAGTTGAGGCTAAATATACACCAGCCATGGTTAAGTCAGCTATGAGAAGCTGTGATTTCCCCTGCTGTCCCTTGATGTGAAATAATTGGGGTAAGGAGATGGCCCATGAGCCGACATGAAAGGCTCAGGAAAGTAAGGATCTGGTACCATGCATTTCTCAGACAATTCTCTACCCGCAAAGGGTACAGAGTCTGGGACTGCGGGACCTGTATGTAAACTAGAGTCTTCTCTGCTTTTATGTTTGGTGCCTGAGAAGCCACATCGTGTCCGTATCTCCCTCCCCTTTTCCCACTGGATTCCTGGGCCTATCTTCTGTCCACTGTATTCTTTTCCTTGCTGTCTGCCATCGCAGCCCTTTTTTTTATGGTATGATACAACACTGGCTTGTAGGATTTGGCTGAACATGTCCTCCCTAGTCCTCTTCTTTCTTCTTCTCATCAAGAGACATCCACTAAGGCAAACTGGTAGCAGCTGCTGATTAAAACAGACATATATCACTGGATTTATAGTCAGAACAGAAAAAAAGAAATTTCAGAACTCCATTCCCTTATTCCAGATTAAAAACAAAACAAAACATTTAATATAACATGCTTATTAACACGTTAGCTTTGGAGTGCCTTCGCATAGCACTATCTCCAGCCCCATCCAAGGTGTGTCTGATCCATCACAAAAGGAGGGAGGTCAGTAACGATTTTTGATTGCACGAATAAAAAATGTGGTCCTTATTCCATAGCTACAAGTATAGAGGAATGGCACTGAATACTGGCACTATTTACCACAAGACATGAGGATTTTAGCTAATCTCTCCCTCCTGAGGGAAACAAAGACAGAGAAAGCACAGCTGCTCCTGTATGCCTCTAGACTGTTTAATGCACTGGTGGCAGACACACTCATTGTGGAATGACACGGGAAAGTATCCTATAGTGCATGCGGAAATAAGGAATCCATCCCTAGAAACTTTTGGGAGAGGACTGCAGAATATTTCTATGAATGTTTAACTGAGATCTCATGGAAGAATAGAAGAGGAATCCCTATTTACATAAACAAATTACCATACCAGATTGTTCCTGCCCACCAAACTCAATAAGAAAATGAAAAGTAGATATCAACTCTACCTCTAGTTGTTGTGCCACTACTTCTTCTCTTAAGAGTAAAAAAATGCAAAGTCAATACCTGTGTCTTGTTTAAAAATGGCACCCTGCCAACAAGATAATTTAAAACATTGCAAGGGAAAACTGATGCACACACTTACCCAAGATTCTTTCCTTTTCATCAGGCTCATCTGTTTGGCTAGTAGGATTGGCTAGACAGTGATGGAGTCTCTAGTAGGTTCTGGCTTGTGGCATGGCTGGATCCCTTTACTGCATTTTCCTTACTCCTCTTCACTGTTTACAGGCAGGAATCTCAGATGCCGTCGAAGTTTTCCTGGTGGGGTGCTGATATGAGTACTCTGCCAAGTATGGCAAGAAGCTTAGGCTATGTCTAGACTAGAGGGTTTTTTTTTTTTTTTTTTTTTTAAAGTGGCCTTTTTCCAAAAAAGCTTCACCTGCATCTAGACAGTCGTCGCGTTCTTTAGAAATTAAATTTAAAGAACATGGCGGTTTTTTCGACAGCGGTGAACCTGCTTTTACAAGGAAGAATGCCTTTTTTTGGAAGAGCTCTTTTGAAAAAAGGCGTTATTGAAGAGCATCCTGGGTGCTCTTTCGAAAAAGTGGATTGCTTTTTCTAAAGTCTTGTGGTTGTCTAGACGATCTCTTTCGAAAAAGGCTTATAGTCTAGACGTACCCTCAGGCTATGTCTAGACTGGCATGATTTTCCATAAATGCTTTTAACGGAAAAGTTTTCTGTTAAAAGCATTTTTGGAATAGTGTGTCTAGATTGGCATGGATGCTTTTCCGCAAAAGCACTTTTTGCGGAAAAGCGTCCGTGCCAATCTAGACGCGCTTTTCTGCAAAAAAGCCCCGATCGCTATTTTCACGATCGGGGCTTTTTTGCCGAAAACAAATCTGGGCTGTCTACACTGGCATAGTATTTCCGCAAGAACACTGACAATCTTACATGAGATCGTCAGTGCTTTTGCGGAAATTCAAGCGGCCAGTGTAGACAGCTGGCAAGCTTTTGCCAGTCTAGATGCACCTTCAGTGTAAAAGTGCTCAGCATAAGATCAATTGTTGTGGTATGCCTGTTGCAGTTCCTTCACTTTAACATGGCATTTTTTAATCCTTTCTCTACATCCTCTGTGCTATTTTTTGAAGATTGTCCATATTCTACAGCTATGCTTGCAGAGGCTCTTCTCCCCACAGACCCAGGAGACACAATACATCTGTCCATATCAAGGAAAAGTCAGTTGAATGAGTGGAGCTGGTTTGGTCAAGTTGGGTAGCTGAACACTCAAAGGAGAGCTATTAGATGTGCTCACCAAGCTGGGCAATTAGGAAAATTCAGTGGGTGTTTTAAACAGGGTATGGGGGTAGCTTCCAGTCTCTTTGACTCTAGCAATGGAACTCAGAATATTGACTAGAATAGTTACGGCAGCTGGGAATGGGGCACTGTGGGTCAGTTGCAGGAACACTGTTTTGGTCAATACAGGTCACCCGCTGTCTTCACTTGCACTACATGAACTTAAGTAGTTCAATCAGGGCTCAGTTGGAAAGGTAGATTACTGTGTGACTAACTGAGCATCACTGACAAATCTGAAAGTATTCAGTAGACGCTAAAGAAGTTAAAATGTATAACTGCTGAAAATGTCAGCAGTTAAATGTGGAGGGTCCAGCGGCCCCACCTGTCCCCCTGCACTGCTGCGTATCAGAGGCAGCAATGAGGGGGGAGCGACTCCCCAGGAGCTGGTGTGTGTAGGGAGAAAGCCTGCGTGTATCAGTGAAGGTTAAGCAATGAGCCAGGCTCATCAGTTAACCATGTACACAGTTACACTTTCACATCCCTAGCAGACATATGCACAAATAAGGTTGATGCAAAGCCACTTATGTCAACTTAACTTTGTAATTGTAGACTAGGTCACAGACATATATCATGTGGTTACTAAATAAAGGTTTCTGAAAACATTTATCAAGCTTAATTTGAATTTGATTTTTAATTTATCATGTGATTTTTAGCTATTTATTCCTGAATATAATTATAACATCTCACTAATCACAAAAATACTATACAGGAAGTCCCCGGGTTACGTACAAGATAGGGACTGTAGGTTTGTTCTTAAGTTGAATCTGTATGCAAGTTGGAACTGGCGTCCAGATTCAGCCGCTGCTGAAACTGATCAGTTTCAACAGCGGCTGACTTGGGGATGCCGGGGGCAGAGCAGCTGGGGTGCTGCCGGGGTGGTCCAGTAGCGCCGAGGAGCGGCGGCGCTACTGGACCAGCCCAGCAGCACCCCAGCTGCTCTGCCCCAGGCGTCCTGATTCAGCCGCTGCTGAAACTGATCAGTTTCAACAGCGGCTGACTTGGGGATGCCGGGGGCAGAGCAGCTGGGGTGCTGCCGGGGTGGTCCAGTAGCGCCCAGAGCGGCGCTATGGGACCAACCGGCAGCGCCCCAGCCGCTGTACCACAGGCGTCCGGAGCAAAGCCGCGGAGCACGGGGGCAGCGGGACAGCCCAGACGCGCGTGGCTGTCCTGCTGCCCACGTGTTCCGCCGCTTTGCTTCCTCTCCCTGGTCTGCTGGAGACCACGGAGAAGGAGGGTCCCGTTCATAACTGCGGATCCGACATAAGTCGGATCCGCGTAACTCACGGACTATCTGTACTGCAAAGAAATGGAAAGCAGAAAAGCATTTGAACTTTCTATTAGTGTCAGGTACAAGTTCAGCAATTTAGCAAGTCTGGAGAATTGCCCTCTTGGTAAATCAGAGATTGTCTTCTCCTGAAGAAATATGGTCTTCATTCCTGGAAGTATATAGTTAAGATGCTCTTAGCAACAACGAGTTGGTCCATGTCATGAGGATTGTATCCTTTTCTTTTCTCTTCTCCCTTTGTCTTGTTCTTGCTAATTATATTCAATTGAAAGTAGCTAATAAATGTTATTTATATATCTATTTTTTTAACCCTTACTAAGAAGTTTTCAGATCATTACAGATCTGAACCAGATTTTTTCCCCAGCTAATGGGAAGCCAGTAGGAAGTCAAATACTAAATTGAATATTTTTTCTCCTTACAGGAATAACACCAGATCTATTCTGCTTCTTTAATATTTTCAACACAGTAGCACTAAGACTTAGACGCTTCTCCACGGATCACTACCTTGTAGTGGTGGAGAGGCTTGCGTGTTCCAATGACCCCCGAGAGTGATGTTGCCTGGAGTTATGTGCTCCCTTAGGGTGTGTCTAGACTACATCCCTCTTTCGACAGAGGGATGTAAATTAGGCACTTCAAAATTGCAAATGAAGCTGGGATTTGAATTTCCCGCGTTCCATTTGCATAATCACATCATGGCGCTATTTCGAAAAAGCACTATTTTGAAAGTAAAATCACAGTCTAGGCACAGTTCTTTCGAAAAGCCTATGGTTTACAGGACCTTTTGAAAAAGCCTGGACAACCTACGGACATCACTTGGTGATACCTTTCAAGGACTTTCAACGCTGCCTCCGCAAGAACTTGAAGATCAAATGGGAAGACAAGCGCACTAACATCAGTATTTTGGAAGAGGCAAAGACCACCAGCATTGAGATAATGATCATCCATCAGCAACTTTGCAGGACTGGTCATGTTGTCCAGATACCAGATCACCACCTTCCAAAACAGGTCCTGTTTTCTCAGCTGAAAGAAGGGTACTATTACATGGGAGGACAACAGAAACGTTATAAGACTTGCTAAACAATAACTTAAAGAAGTGCAACATTGGCATTGACACTTGGGAGACACGTGCCCATTATCACTCAGAATGGAGAGAAGTCCTACGCAATGGCTCCCTGCATTTTGAATTTTCCAGCTGACAAGCTGTGGAGAAGCAGCACAGGAGGAAGGGGAGACTGGCTTCTAATTATGGTCAACAGCCTTCTTCTGTACCTGGAAACATCTGTGCTCATTGTAACAGAACTTGTGGTTCAAGGATCAGCCTGAACAGCCACCTGAGTGTCCACACGCCCATGGAAGATGATCATACTCAGCAATGAGTGATGCATCAAAAGACTCAGATACATGTATTAGGAATAATAAAATGGGTTTATTTATGTAAATGTGTAACTGCTGAAAAATTCACCAGTTACATGTTTACAAGCAGGGTAGGGACGGAAGCAACCACTCTCCCGCGCCCCTGTTTCATAGGGATCAACATGGAATGGGGGGGGAAAGGAGGAGGTAGCCCGTGGGGAGCTGGCCCTGTGCTGTTGCTTCTGTATCAGAGGAAGCAGCACGGGGGGAGGAGCAGGCAGCTCCTTGGATGTTCAGGGAGCCGACTTGAAAGCCAATTCCCCATTCACACCAGCTCCCGCCTCTCCCCTTCCCCTGCTGCTGTCTCTAATACATAGGCAGTAGCACCGAGGTGGGGAAGGGGAGGCACTACGTGTAACTGTACACATTAATGGATGAGCCCTGGCTCATCAGTTAACCATATACAACATGTTCTCATCCCTAACATAATATGTGCAACGTGAAACACTTGGATAGAGTTTCACCAATTTAAACATAGTGATTTAAAAGTTGTGGAGCAATCTGGGGCAGAACATTCCCATGGGCTCTCAAGTACAAAGTTACACATAAGCTTTAAACCTTTGGGGGTTACATTATATTTCCTCACAACTACAAGAAAAATAGTTATGTGAATGAAATCCTTGAGGTTTTACAACAGCAGCAGGAGATTCTCCAAAATAAAATTATTTAAATAAGCTCTCCAAGTTACTGGTCCTGAACAAGGGGTTTTGCTAGACTAGGGAAGGTCAATTTCAGCCCCATTGCCAGACTTCACTCCTGGCTCCAGCTGCTGACCCCTTGACTGGTTGCTGCTGCCTCACTTGGGCTCCTGCAGCAGGCTATGTGACTGAACTTGTTGGGCTGCCACCGCTGGATCGACTGTCCTGCAGCAGGCCTCCTAACCAGGCCCTTCTGCTACCCAAGTCTATGCCATGGAGAGGCTTGTAATTGTGCATTGTCAACCAGCAGGTGATGTTAAGCAGATATGCTTATAACACCTGGTCAGCAGGAGGTAGACAAGTTCAGGGAGCTTTTCCCACAGGAGTCCCGCCAAGAATTCTGGGCCCTATCTGAAGATCGGAAGGTAGTCTCCCATACGGCCTTGCAGGCAGCCTTGCACATACGACGCCTCTGGCCTCTGCGAGCATGACTAATGAAAGTGCACAACCCAGCACGTGCCTCACAATTCCTCAGGACATTCTGCACTCCCTCAACTGGTGGCTGCAGGAGCCTGTAGTCTGTGCAGGTGTTCCATTTACCAGGGAGCCTATCAATGCAACTGGTCACAGATGCATCAGACATGGGATGGGATCTTTTGGAACTCTGGACTCGTGGTCCCTTACAGAA